AAACTAGCTAGCATATATCTTAAGAAATAGAAAACTATTTTTGGATAATACAATGTAAATGTGAGCTATAGATCACCAGCAACTGAAGGTAGATCACCATACTAGGGACCGTGGGGATTACAGTGCCTTTGCTACCTACATGGACCCTAGCTTGATTTACGCCATCCCTTCAGCCACTGGCTATTATAGTAAAATCTAGCCATAATTTAAAATTTAAAAAAATACTACACGTTTAAATAATCTGGTAAGTATAAATTTTGGGACTTACGTACCTCCTGTGCACTTAAAAGAACCCACAAATCCGTTGGTATATGACCAGATGCTGGCCACATGAATATGTGCACACACCTAGTTGTGAGTACAGCACAGTGCAGTAAACTTGGACAAAGTAGTGTCCCAGTCCATCCAGATGTGAATGGGTACCTCGTACGGATGAAAAGTCTCATTAACTTGGTGCGCCTAGTGGCTGCAAGAGTTGTATGGTCCCCAGGGAGTTGGGATATATAATACGATGTGTGTCGTTGAGATTGGTATCCAATGCCCGGGGGGAAATACAAAGTGTCTGTGAACTCAGAGCTATTTTAATTTTATACAAAACAAAACAAACAAATAACAAAAAACAAAAATACAAAACAAATCAAACAAACTTTGCGAGGCACCTTTCTATAAACAGATGATGAGTAAATGCACCCGAGGATCAACAAATTGAAAAGTGGTATAAATCGGCATTTGAATGAAGGCACTCTTGTACTGAAGGCTAAAGTCTGGTGTCCCTGCCTAGATCATTTCTGAAGATTGAAGTTTACATTTGTTGGATAGAATAAAGAAGGTGGGGGATAGCACTGAGATTCGCAATGGCTGTATCACAGTAAACGATACAGTAAAAATGTATTTTTTTTACGTCGCTTATTGGGTAAAAATTCAAGTAGTATATACAATGATAGTTCTGGACCACGTCTGACAGTTGACTTTATCTGTGGAGGACCAAGTCTGGACCACGTCTGACATAAGCTTCTTTTTGTTAGTAAAGCCTTTGTCAGACTCTCCACTGCACATACCACTTATACATCTATTTTTTTGGTTCAATTTTTTCGTGTCCGTATGCGTACGTGTTGATCCCGTCGATGGCTATCCAACGCTTTGTGTCCATTGACGACAGGGAGGTCTTGTTTATCATCAGTCCGTATATTCTGTGTCCGTCGCTTCCCAGCGTGTTCATCTGATGCCTGAAGTTGCGGGTCATGAACAGGGCCTCCTTGAACCTGGCGTGTCTGATGTGTTGTTTCACCACATACTGCTTGACCCCCTTCGACTTCCGGATGTCGCCGTTGTTGGCTTTCAGGATAGACTACATCTTGGGCCTCAAGCCTATGTACTGGGCAATGGGTGTGCCGGCGCTTTAGTCCTTCATCTTGGCAAGGACCTTTTTGTTAACCGTGCTGTGCATGGGGTGGTCCTTCAGGTAGTTGCTGGTTTTGTACAGGTGCATGTGTTTCTTCATGTCCTCGTACACACCCTCAGTTCGAATCTCCATCAGCAGGGAATTGGTGTCCGTGTACAGCACTTCACACATGTCGCCGTACAACTTCTTGAGCTTGTTGTAGTAGAGGTCGTACATCAGGTACTTGGAGAGGTCTAGGATGCTCATCCCCACGTAGATGGGCCGGTTGAATTTGATGTGGCTCTTCCTCATGTGCAGGGCAACAAAATCGTCGGTGAATATCTTGCTCCGGTTGTATGCAGGGCTGGTTATCAGTTTCCTGAGCTTGTCTTCCTCTTTCGACTGGACTAGCTTCACGGTCACGCATTTTTGCAAGTCCTGCATCGTCTTGCCGAGCACCGAGTTGTTCATGAGCTTGCAGAGGTTCTTCTCCAAGTCACTGGGGGCCAGCTTTCTCAGCTCGGTGTTCGTTCTGATGTAGGGCTCCATCCAGGGGCTTTGGTCGAACTTGAGCACCCTATGAATTTTAGTCAGCCTCATACCCAGCGACAGGTACAGCTGCAGGTTGCAATAGTGGACGATGTACTTGTTTTTGTTCATCAAGTTGGGTACAAGTTTTTCGACGTTGGGTAGCTTATTCTTCCCCAACAAGTCCCACTGATAGTCGGACATCCAGTCCGGGTCCACCGTCAACCGTTCGGGAGCCAGGGGGTAGCCGTTGTAGGCAGAGTGCAATGCTGCTGGGTACTCCAAGTCCACTTTGAGGATGTAACCCTTCCCCGAATCCGGCAGTATGCTAATGACGTTTACCATTTCAGATGTCCACTCGAAGCCCTGATGGTTTTCTCTTCCTGTTGCAAGCACTTTAGAAACTTTTCAGCCGCGTCAGGGCCTCTGTACACCACGGGAGCATTCGTTTGTCCATCGCATCGGACGACCACGTACCCGAACCCACAGGCCTCGTGATCCAGCCTTTTTTTGTGTGAAGCTCTTGCCTGTGGATAGCTCGATAGTGGTGTCAACGTGCTTGATGAGGGCTTCGAAGTCGGCATAGATGGTGTAAGGTACGGGCATCTGGTTCTTGTGGTTGTCGAATTTTAGGCTGTTATCGCCTTCCTTGGGCATGTCGATTCGTATGGCCGTCTGCCCCACGCCTAGGCAATCCTCCCGGTGTGATTCCAGCAGGTTGGCTCGGTTGGAGCCGTGCAGGCATCGTTCACAGAAGTGTTTTTTTCCCGACATGTGCCAACTGGTCTTGCAACGCCCTGCTGAAGTGTTTTAGCCAGACGTATTGACAGTTATCAGTTCGCTGGATCATGAATATATTGATCGTCTTGCGGCCCTCCATTGGGCTGATCCTGTGCATGATCGTTTTGTTGCCTTTTCGTGTCCGAAGACGTTAATGGCTATGTTGTTCTGTTTTTCGATTTTGGTAACTTGAGATATGGGGCTGGGTTCGTCAATGCCGTCCTGGTTGAGCCCATCATCTTCGGGATAGCTGGAAAGTCTATCCGAATGTACGTCGACTGGAAACAAGGCAGATCTGATCGCTACCCTCATGCAATCGTCGCCTCTGTTTTTGACGTTGACCATGGCATGTTTTTTCTTGTAGTAGGGGGGTAAGTCCAGGTACGATCCACCTCTGAACGGTACGTAGTTAGCTATGTCCAGGTAGACCGTATCAATATTATCCACTGCCCACCCGGAACCCCTGTGGGTGTAGCGTTCCAGGTACTCTCATATTTGTTCAAGCGAGGTGTTGATGGACTTGTCTATCATCTCGGGTTGAGTCGCCACTTCTTGTTTACCCCTGAAGTAAGGCTTAACATGCTCGGTGCTGCCGTCTGCCTGCTGTTTATCGAGCGACATTTTTACCGTGATTTGGAATTTGAGGCTCCCCAGGTCGGTCAGTTCCTCGTTGACTTTGTCAGCGATCTGGGATTTGATATCGTCAATGTCTATGTTCTGGTCTACATTCATCCGCCAGCCCCTCAGATAATTACCTATAGCGTGTTTAGTCCGCAAGAACCATAGATCCGGGACAGTAGACATTGTTTACACCTAAGCATAACAATCTCTAATTGGGCCACTGGCTAGGGAAGGGAGGTAACTCTTCCAACCTTATCTTAATAAAAAAATAAAGGAGGCGCCTATAAATTCCTTAATATATATTTAGATAGACCTCATCGATTATACCCTCAACCAACCCGGAACATGCGCAGAGTAGTAGGGTTTCTTGTATTTTTTGCAACGAGGCATCGACAATCATATCTATCTCCCCGTGTTGATACACATCTACTAGTCCATCATCAAAGTAATCCCAAGTGTGCCCAGTCCACGGTACATCAAACCCTACTTTCACCATGATTGAAAATGCGAAGCACTCCAGGTCTTCCAGTGCCTTATAGAGTTCGCCAACAATCAGAGGTTTGAGGACACCGATATCTATACTTTTACCTACATCCAGCTGCCAGCTTCTCAGAAAACGACTTTCCGGGGGTTCAACTTTCACGAAGTGTAGACTACTCATTATATATACCTAGGTACACACCAATATTTAATAAAACGCCCCTCCTTACACCTCTATCCTGAGGAGGCGCCTACGTTCGATTATGTAGTCCTTATTCTTCTCGTAGATAAGCTGGTGCCTGAGTACGTTTGTGGTCTCTACATACAATTACAGATATCGCTGGCCGATGATGTGTCTTGCTGGTGTCCTCCCATTTGTGAGAGCTCCCAGTTGTGAGACACATAAATTAATGGTTCAGTGCACATAGTTGGTGTTTCCACATCCCTACAATGAAAGTGGGATCAGCCCAGTTGTTGAAGAGTACCCACAGGAGTCATTGATGAGTAGATTAATGAAATAGATTATCAAAGATTCTATTTACACAGAAGAAATAGACTATTATGAAGTTTGAAAGTAATTTTGGTTTAAACATATTTTATTATTATTTATGAAAATAAATTGGGATTGGTGAGCACGCATTACTGCTTACTTGTTAACACAGCACCCATGCAACATAAAATACAAAATGAAATGGAGGATGTGACGTCATCGATATTGACTATTGCAGAAATATATTTTTAAGTATACATCATATACAACTATTCTCTAAGTAGTCATAATTAGAGAGTTACAGTTGTGTGTGTCTAACAAGTTATTGTAGGAACATAAATCAATCATGAGAAGGTTGTTGAGTTAATTTAAGTATTTTCCTGAGAAAATTTGAAGCGTTGTGTCTTGATGATATAATCGTTGACAGATTCAACTATTTTCTGGTTTACACAAGGAGTAAATTCTTTGTTTCCGTTCAAAAAGGCAATCCAGGTGAAAACGGGTAGTGCCGGGTAAAAAGTAGTTGGCATCAGAGGCAGTTCGAGTGTAAACTTGTATTTCAGAGTTATTTCCTAAACTATATCTTGTAGTTTCGGAGACGGATGTAAATCTGTGTAGGTAAATTAATTTCTCTTTCAAATGCTCACGAAGTTACCTACACAAAGTTTATGTTAATCAATTTATCTTAGTAAGTTTCATTAAGACTTCCACAAGATTCAGTTACATAGCAAATCAGTAATTAGCTAGGGTTAATCCATTCCATCAGACAGGGGAGTATGGTGTGTTTTCTTTGTTAATTACCTACTCCACTGTCTCATAACTGGGAGTCTCACAATTGGGAGCTGTCACAAATGGGAGTAGGCCGTCTTGCTTATCACATAGTTATATACGTTAAAATGACATCACTCTTCATATAGACACCATCACCATTGTGTAAGTTACGCACATTTGTTTATCAATTTGACAGTCTACATCACAGAAACAATAATCTGACTTATCTCTACACTGAATAGTCGGTTCCGCTTTTAACGGAGTATCTGAACCTGCGGGGCAGCCTATGTTTGTTGTAAGAGGTGACTGCATGGATCAGGTCGTCAGGCTCGAGGTCTGTTTGACAGTATATCATTGAATACCAGTTGCATTCATCGCTGCTCATGGTTTTAAATACTGGGTTGTCTTGTGCAGACACGATTATGTACAAGCCGCCCTCATATCTGAATATTGCTGAGTGCGGCGGGAAAATGGATTTTTTGCTCCTTAAAGACCCGTCTAATATTCAATAAACACAAAAATCCGTTGGAAACATTTGCATGTATCTGAACATATTTTACTTGAATTGGTCAAGTCCGTAGATAGGATGAAAGCATCTCCAATAAACAATGTCAAAGCATTATTTCAATATTCATCTGAACAGTTTACATGGGCTCTTTTTGGATCGACTCGTGGCCAAGACTTATCAGGTGAGTGAACCAAACATGACTTTCAACGTCTGATTGACATGTAACGTCATCGTGCACAAGAGCTTGCACTATCACGGAAAAACATGATATTCAGCATCTGACTTAGATATAGCTTCATCGTGTGCATCACTGACAAAGTCCACGCACTATATGATATTCAGCGTCAAACCGACGTATAACTTTATCGTGAACATCAGTGACACTAAACTTGCACTATCGTGGAAAAGCGAACATGATATTCAGCGTCTCACTGACGTATTACGTCATCGTTTGCATCAGTGACAAGGAGCTTGCACTGTCGCGGGGAAAAAAACATGATATTCAGCATATGAACGACGTATAGCTTCAACGTGTGCATCAGTGACAAAGAGCTGGCAGTGTCACGGAAAAAAACCATGATATTCAGCTTATGACTGACGTATAGCTTCAACGTGTGCATCAGTGACAAACAGCTTGCACTATCACAGAAAAAGATGACATTCAGCTTCACAACTTCATCCTGTCATCAGTAACAAGACATCAGCGTAAAATCGTTTTTTGTGATGATTATGAAGTATATAACAAACTCAATGTCTCGGTTAACAATCGATATCGATGGACTGTGGTTGATTTCACGGATATGTTTTCCGAATTTTTGTTGTGTGCATCTATAATAAAAGTTTCTTTGCTTATTAAGTTTGTATTCAGATTATTTTGTTTAAAGGTGTCCATTAGGCATATGTTTTACCTAGTAGTAAAACACCAAAGTCAAAGTAAGAGCTACAATGTGCAGTGAACGTCCTTGACAACAGGACATAGTCTAAATTCATGAATTTGTCATACATAAAGAAATGTTTTGAAAAAAAGCAAACAAATAAATCTTGGATGTATTCATGAGACGACATTGTCTGTATTCGGACACCCTGCCCATGCAGAACTTACGTACCGCTGCAGGGTTGTGCTGTTTTGTTCTTACCCTACAGGCGTGGGCCCATTAAGAGAATCATAGACACCTTTTCTGTGCCCGTGTGTGTGTTATCGACCATACGCAAATGAATCCCCAGTGAACATAATAGACGATGTCATAACGTATGTTTTACTTTGAACTTTCTAAATGCAGCCATAAGATGTAAACAATGTGGCTACTGAGATTTTATTAACACTTCAGTGCGTGAATGAATTGTCACAGATATCGGACATATTTCTCATTTTAAGTACGCTTCGCTATTATATTTGGTAATTTGAACCCTGAGAGTTCACATTGCAGTCTTTATGTTGTCTTATGAGTTGTTAAAGGGCATAACTATAAGCTAATCTACAAAATAATACAACAGGCTATAATCCATGTTGACAAAACAGCAAAACTCAGTCGATCCTTAACGTATACTAGTCCTAAGGCCAAGGGACGTAACCAGCCCCACCATTAATAATTTTTAACGCTTAAGAGATCAACGGGACTGACAATTCATATTATGGCTTTCGATTTCCTTTAGCAAACGTTATCACATAAATAATTGCAAAACAGTGCGGTACACTGCATAATCCTACACTCATTGTTTTATATATGTTATATGTGTATATATCAGATGTCAGAGAACATATGGTGTGTCATATCTATAAATAATCATTTCTTTTCTGTATTGTGGAAAATGGCAGTCATGCATGCAGTCATTATGTCATATAAACACGTATTCGTGAAATCATGATCATCAGTCGTTAGGATTTACAATATGCTGTTTCCTAGGTAACAATAATTTCGATGCTTCCTATCAGTGGTTTCTTAAATATTGTCCCAGTATCTGCTTGATATTATTCCCCCAAGTTGACTAGTTTAAACACTATTTCTTAACGCTATCAAAATTAATCAAAATTGTATTAAGCAATTGTGAAAAGAGTGGTTAAATATTCCGATTTTCCATTAGTCATAAACACTCATTTTACAATTTTACAACTCATTAACAAAAAATATAACTAACAATATATTGCAACCAACTGTACAGTGGCATTGCTTGATCCTTCACTTAATAAAGGTGGTGAGCATAGGTACACTTACATATCTATTTTAAGAGTTTCAGACAATGGAAGAAGAAAAAGGAAGCAAATGTCATCTGAAGTTTATTGAGAAATAATATGTGAAGTGATATAGTTTAAGAACATAAATAACATCTCTGAAAAATGAGAAGTAACATGTGGACAAGAAGTATGCATCCCAACTGCTGCAAAAATCAAAAGAAGGTAATTTGCAAAGTTTAACAAAAGTCTCAATGTATATTGATTGTCTGTTATCGTTCAATAACCATCAAACAGTGAATTTGAATAACTTCACATAAGGCACACTAGTGAGACCTTCTCGTGTGTTTCATAATGAAATATATGCATAAAGAGTCAGAGCGACAAAGAAATCTCATCAAGACTGTGATACGAGAGGGATGATTTTAACTTTCCAGTGGTCAAGTATGACCAGCAATATCCTGCAGTCCACGCCTATATTTAAAATGCAATCGAGATTTCAAAGTGCGCCATACTATCACGCTCAATAGTTGTTCAATAAAGCTTCCAAGAGTCAAGGCTTCAGTAAACATTTTATGGTAGATATGTGGAGAACATTTCAAAAGCTGACGCATCGGTTACAACAATGATTATGGATACGTCTTTGATTACAGAGGTTCAGGACAGTTTGGCAAAGATGAAGGCAAATATCATCAGAAGTCATTTATGCACAAACGGACTTATTTCGAGGGTCTATCATTCGGCTAATAATAAAAATAGTTCAACATGATTCATATCAGCCAATTGAGGAAGAAAATACCTTTGTCTATTTGTTTTGTTTTTGATGCTGTTTTTTTTGTTGTTGTTGTTTTTTTATGCATAAACAACCTAAGTATGACTTCGTTTTGTATGTATCCTTTTTCGGGTGAACAGTTGACCTTGCTGCACATGCTTTCAGCATTATTACCATTTGATAGTGTTTCATTTTTATATACATGCCAGATCGTACAGTCGATCCTGCTGTTGGCAGAGATTTGTAACAAGTTGCTATTATGCTATAAAGTGGAAGCAACACAGACAGAGAACAAGGGTAGAGTAAAGACTGCATGCTTTGGTTAAGAATAAGCGATTATTGTGGATCCATTCAACATTTCATTGAAGTTGTTTCAGAGTATTTATCGCACTGGTGAATTGATATATCTAGCATCATATCTGTCCTCAGCCATCTCTGTATAACACGTTTCTGATATTTGTTCCATTGTGGTCTGATCCAGAGAGGCGTACGGTTCATCACGTGTCGTTTCTAACGCTTTGATTTTCATCTGCAGCCTGAAATGTGCAAAATTAAACTTCATTCAACATTTCCATGCGTCATGGAATGGTACCATGTTGAGCAAAAAGAGAACTCTTTCGTTAAACTAGATCGTCTCTTGTATTTGAATAGACTGACCTACATAAGCAACATCAAGAAAGAGTTACAGTTGATGCAAAACATGAAGTCGCCACCTGAGGTGTCCTCGAGAATGTGGTTTTGAATTCAAATCAATTAGAATGGCAACCGTTTCATATCATTTGTGTCATAACAAAAGTACACACTCAAATCGCAGGACAGAATAGGTTCGCCGAAATCACAGATTTCAGTTAGAAACGACTGAAGTGGGTACTTGGTGTTATTTGCTTTATGTTCTCTCTCCGATTGCGAGTCATCACTAAGTGGTTGTAGGGAATCCTGTTCACAACATTTTTTCTAATACTCTTCACTCACGTACGTACTCTTAAAAAATCAACAATTAAAGTTCTGACAATCTTGCCACCAAAACAACAGATTTCTTTATTCTATAGATGTTATACTACATGTTTGGATGATAAATAATAGGTGTTAACTGGATATACATTGAATACATAGAGAATAAGATACATTCATAAAAAAATCGACCGGCAACATGTTGGTATCTGGTTTGTTTTCAGGCGGTTCCTGTACATACCAGGACATTGAATAGACTGTACACACGTCTGTCCTTGTCCCGTATTATAAATCTTGAAAGTAAAAGAAAAGAACATTTTAACACCCCCATTCAATAACTGCTCGCTACTAATAAGAGACCGATATACGCTGTTGCTCACCTCCTGATCCACAGAGAAGCCACCAGTACAATGATCAATATGACAACTCCACATGAAATTCCAACTGCTAACGTCATGGGACTAGAAGCTCGTTGGTCAGTATTTAAGGAGCGGGCTGAAAATGCAGTGTTGGCAATTAACTGATTTGCAAACATGTAAGGACGTTACATGCAAACTATCGCCAAAGACGCAACAAAATGAAGTTGTTCTGCAAATTCAGAGCCTTGGTTATTCACTGGGTTCAAATCTGTTTGATGTAGGCAAAAATTAAGTGGAATTAAGAGCCGTAACATATTGAAGGCAATCCCTCAAATGTGCATAACACACTAAGCAGTTTTAATGTAATCTCTGCTTGAATGTGTACTTTACTGAGAAAGGGAAATACAAAATATACCATATGATTTAGTGTAATATTTATGAAATCTAGATATCACATGTAATTAATATTGGGGCATTGTTGGATTAAAACGTTTTCATCTCAGATAATCAGAAAATCTTTTTGTACAAGGACAAATTTCATTTCTTAGTTAGCCTAATGCTTGTTTCTGTTAAGCAGAGAATAATATGTACTGTCAACAATGAATACTATATTCGGAAAGTTATATGATCATATACCTGTAAGTTTGGTTTTCACGGTGGGATTATCAGGTTTTAAAATTAAAGAAATACTCATCCCTTTTACGATTTTCCTCACTTCTAGAATGTCGTCGACAATACTCTTTATTCTTGTTTATTGGCTATTTTGTACGTACGTGTTTGACAATTTGCGCCGCTGAATGCAGGAGTGCATCCACTAGAGCAGTGTCCATTGATCTTGTCACATACTTCCTTGGTGTCCAGACAGCGACATTGTTTGTCACAGTTGTCACCAAACCATCCGTCACTGCAAACTTTATTTCAGACATAGTAATTATCCAGTCGTGTATGTTCGTCAAACACCGAAATACACAATGACATTTTGAAAAGGAGCGAGTGTTTTTGTTTAAATATATTTTTATTGACTGTGAAAATACACTGCACCTAATTTTATTGGTAATTCTGAGTAAACAACATGTACGTACCTGATTGACAATTTGCGCCGCTGAATCCAGGAGTGCATCCACTAGAGCAGTGTCCCGTCACCTTGTCACATACTTCCTTGTTATCCAGACAGTGACATTTTTTGTCACATTTGTCACCAAACCAGCTGTCAATGCAAACTATAAAACACAGGTAATAGTGAACCCTGAAATATTGTTCAAGGATACGTAAATCAAAACTGCCCCTCACTCTAGTATCTAAAAATCTACTGAACATTGTCAAACGTTTAATGTAAATGTGGCATTTCGAAAATGAGTGGGTTTGTCATATACATTGTGTCATTTTTTTTACATACATTGCACCATTTTGGTGATTGTGGGTAAAAAAAACTACATGTACGTGCATGTCTAATCTTTGAAGTGCATTTAGAAGTGGAATGCATAAGAAAAGCAAGAAGTTTACATCCATAAATCTTGCTTTACTTACGTACGTGTCTGACAGTTTGCTCCGCTGAATCCAGGAATACACCCACTAGTGCAGTGTCCAGTGATCTTGTCACACACTTCTTTGTTATCCAGACAGTGACATTGTTTGTCACAGTTGTCGCTAAACCAGCCGTCACTGCAAACTTTATTACAGAAAGTATCCAGTCGTGTATGTTCGTTAAACAGCGAAATATACAATGGCACATTGTGTAAGGATACGTAATGCGATACTCCTTCATTCGAGTATGTCTTGAACAGATTAAACACTATTCATTTTTGGTTAGATATTTAATGTACTTGTGACATTTTGAAAAGGAGCTAGTGCTTTTGTTTAAATATATGTTCATTGACTGTGAAAATACACTGCATCTAATTTTATTGGTAATAATTAACATGTACGTACCTGATTGACAGTTTGCGCCGCTGAATCCAGGAGTGCATCCACTAGAGCAGTGTCCCGTCACCTTGTCACATAATTCCTTGTTGTCCAGACAGTGACATTGTTTGTCACATTTGTCACCAAACCATCCGTCACTGCAAACTATATATTAAAGATGGTATTGGTCGCCTAAATACACTGAAATACACACTGAAAAAATGTTGAAAGATCAACTCTCCAGCCGCTTATAGCATGTGCTGGTCTGGAATGGTTCGGGTGGTCACGATCTGTGAATAATCTGGTTGTATATCATTTGTTTTTTTTACTTGATTCCTAAGAGTTATTCATTAACAGGCAACTGCGACGAGAAGGGATATTGCTGATTGAGGCATAAACAAACAAGATTGGGCCAGCGTGTGCAAAACATCGTTGGCCCAACGAAAACATCGACGAACAATTGAACTTTAAATCCACATGGTATTAATTCCGCTTTCTCAAATACTTTCTATATATATATGTTGTCTTGTGTAGGAAGGACAGCAGGAACCACTAGAATATCACAGATGTGAATATAAAAGTAGTATGTAGGTCTGAACTATTTTAAGTGAGATGAACATTACCATTAACAAAGTTTGGTACCTCTGGATTATTATGCTGATATTTGGGATATAATTGGGTACATACCAAATATCTGCACCTCACACAGAGTCAGAAACTCCTGTGGTTTCCGTATGGTAACTGTGTTTCCTGAAAGTGGCTGTCTGCAGGTGACCTCCATGACATTATCAGGAGGTTCAGTTGATGACCAACTGTAGCAGATCTGTCCGTCCACCAGAATCACCATGCCATCATTTCGACTTGGTGCTGCAATTGAACTTATTTTGTGATAAATGTCAATGGTGAACGGTGTTGCCTAACTGTGAGTTATTTAGATGTTTTACTTTGCTAAAGTCACAACGAATGTACCTCTTTTGCAATTCCAAATGAATTATTGGATGGTTTAAATACATCCGTTTCAGATTTTGCATTTGTCCTAATCCATGAAATGTTGATATAGACTTCCACAATACTCACATGTTTTGCGAAGATAGAGTTTCATGCGGTGTATTTTCTCATGGCTGCTTGCATTGAGAACTACTGTCCATGATGGAGTCATGTCTCCATCACCAGTGCGAGCACACGGACTGTCACTGAATTGATCTGAAATTAATCCATCCACCGCGTAGTCCGCTGTCAGGTTCAGTGGCTGGGAAGTTTCTGGATCTTCATTGTAGACAGATGTCTGAGTTGCGGGTCTTTTCAGAGCGACGTTTCCTTATGAAACAATTCATAGAAACTAGATATATTTGAATAATATTAATCTAGTGTAATTTGCATTAAAAACAAGGCATTGACGTTAGAATTGGCAAAGTGGCGGACCGTGACGCGTGATGTATGTGAAGTAGCGTTGTCATGCTGAAACATCTCCCTTTGTCGGTCCATAATCGGAAGCATGTGACGTGCAAGGACTTCGCTGATGCACCGAATTGCTGTCCAATTCCTCTGAACCACCACTAAATCAGACCTTTGTGTGCTCCATATCTCACCCCACACCATGACACTGTCTCCATCGAATCTGTCGACCTGTCAAATGCACCAAACTGCATCGTCTTGTCACAGTCGTGGAGACTGCACAAAGCATTCCTGGTTTGAGACGAATTTTTGTCCACACGGTCAGGAAATCGATTGCGTGAAGTGGGGATTCGACAAAGAACGCGAGTAGTGGGCCCCTGTTTTGAGAAACTTCCATCGGCGCAATCGCTTGCGATTTGAGACGATGCAATTTGGGGCAGAATGTTGATTACTCAGACGGCCAAAACGCTGTCTTCCATGTCGCCGGTAAATAAGAAATCGTGATTCATTAATGAACCAGATTAACCTCCAGTTTCTAAGGTTCCCGTTCCGGACTCTACATACCACCGCAAGCGATTGCGCCTAAAGAATTGGTGTGGTTAAAGACAAAATGTCGTCTGGATGATCTCATAATGTCATGGGAAAGTACCATTAGCATTTAGACGTCAGTACTTGGTTTAACTCTGTGTTTACGGCTGACTACCAAGAAGCTAAAATAGAAACACTCAGTGTGTCGGTATGCTGACTCTAAAAAACAGACACACAGAGTGAGTGAGTGAGTTTAGTTTTGCACAGTACTCAGAAATAGTCAACTCTATAGCGGCGGTCTATAAATAATCGAGTCTGGATCAGACAATCCAGTGATCAAGAGCATGAACATCTATCTCCGCAATTGGGATACGATGACATGTATCAACCGAGTCAGCAAGCCTGACCACCCGATCCTGTTAGTCGCCTCTTACGACAAGCATGGGTTGCTGAAGACCATTTCTAACCGGATCTTCACGAGTCAGACACAACCCATGTGAGTAAATTTGTTATTGCAACTTCCACAAGAAGGGAGATATTTGGTGGAAGGATAACTGCACAAACTGCCAGAAATCGAATCCGTGCCCATAATGGAGCCCATAATGGAACAATTTTAACGCCTCTTCACCACCGCAATCGACACATAATGTTCAATGAAAGACAGTGGAATTCGATTGTCTTCAGCGACGAATCTCGAGATCCCGTACAGGGATCAGATTTTGCAACCTGTCCTGCTTTATGCAGAGACATGACCCTTGACTGATGTTCCAAGAGAACGCTATACCGCATGCGGCAAATCTTACACAGAATTTTCTATGAAATGCCGGTGTTCAAGCTCTGGATTGGCCGTCGCGTAGCGCCGACCTCAATGATATCTAACACATCTGGGACGAGCTGGGTCGACGTGTTCGTCAGCAAGTCAATCCACCACAGCCGTTGCAAGATATTCAACGTCCCCTTGTTTAGCAATGGCGACGTCTCCTCGGGGGTGTGTTTGCTGACGTTCTAAGATCCACAAGGAGACGTTGTAGTTGTAAAGGACACTAGAGGAGGCCACAACCCTTACAGAAGACCTCAATCGAAATGTTCTCCACACTGTGACCTTCATTCATGAACCTTATCGTTGTTAAAGTGTTCTAGCGTTTTTTTTCCCCTTTGATGCCAAGCTGTTCTGTCCACAACATATGTACAACTAAACTATTGTCCTAAACCTAAAATAAATGATCTAGTCCAAAAACATCCCGAGTGTCAAGTTTTCAGTTTGGCTGAATATATATACTCATTCTCTTTCACGACTTTCTTCACTTCTACAGTGCCGTTGAAAATACACTGCAACTTTGTTTATTGGATATTCTGATTCAATAATAACATGCACGTACGTGTCTGACAATTTGCGCCGCTGAATCCAAGAGTGCATCCACTAGGGCAGTGTCCCGTCATCTTGTTACATACGTCCGTATTGTCCAAACAGTGACATTGTTTGTCACAGTTGTCACCAAACCAGCCGTCACTGCAAACTATATAAGACAGATTGTATTTGTTCCCTCATGTGTGTACGTTAAACAACGAAATACACACTTATGTATTGTACTGCGTAAAGCCAAACTCCTCCTCAAAACTGAAAACTTCTCACCTTTTGTCTCGCATTAAATGTATTTGTAGCCTTTTGAAAAAGAGCGTGTTTACTATAATCTTAAAACAAAGTAAGGGAACCTGAAATTTCAATTTGGATAGGATTTATTAACGTTAACAAACCTTTCAAAGACAGACATCTTATGAACGCACCATTTTATCACCATCCCTAAACATAACGCATGGAATGCACATGCACAACGCAGTAGCCCAATACACGTACATAGGGTGTCATTCTTGATTTTGACTGTTTTCAAGAAGGTTAATTTATCACTGTGGAGCATTAATTTTGACAATCATCTTGCATCACACAGTTGTTAGTGTTTGTTTCCTGCCAGTTTTTTTGGCGTGAAAATGAAAATTGTACACATGCAAATTTCACTTCATACACCAATCATCTTTCAAGGGCGATGACTGTCAAACAACTGTGGTCATAAGGAAGTGCAAGTGGTGATGCACTCTAAAACAGTCATTTATTTATTTAGTCATATATCATATCAACATTGATTGACTCCGATATATCCGATATTTTGTTCGTAAATTAAAAATGAAATTCACCTACTTTTTTTGTAAGAGTATATACGTCCTTTATTGTCAGTAATAATACACGGAAATAGCTACCATGTACGTACGTGTCTGACAATTTGTACCGGTGAATCCAGAAATGCATCCACTAGAGCAGTATCCAGTGATCTTGTCACACATGTCCTTCTTGTTCAGACAGTGACATTGTTTGTCACAGTCGACACCAAACCAGCCGTCACTGCAAACTATAAAATAAAAGTGGTTTTGGTCGTCACATGCGTGTACGTTGAACACTGATATACACGCTGACATAATGTTCAAAGAGGCTCAATTACACTCCCTCGTCACTCGCGTGTAGCAATAATGTGTTGACAGTTAAGGTAAGAAAGGGTTTCCCAGTACACATTTATTTTCCCGTAAGCACTCGTCACCAAAACAAGATACAAGTGTCACAATGTCTTTTTGTGACATGGTCAGCCCAACGTATGGGTCAGTCCTGATTATCCCGGGAAACCTGAAATGTTTGTACCAATAAACGAATGCCATCACTGTCAACAATGCATTTTTTTCATTTTTTTTAAGTTGATCTCACTTTGAACTCTATCCATGAAACGGAAACTTATTTAAATCCACCCTGTCTATCCCATTCTACTAATGGATAATCTTTGAGAAAGGGCTTTGGTGGTACATTGCAGGATCAACTAATAGATCTCTCTTTGACCAGATGTTTATGTTGCTTTGAAATCCAATACAGACGGACGGGGACTGGTCATGTCTTTACGTTGTAGAGTCAAGCCAAAGGTTACAAGCACTGATGAATGGTTTTGCAAGATTTATCACAGTGGCCTTATACGTGGTTCAAACAATTTATGTAAATTGATGTTATTTGAGGCCTTGTTAACAATATAACATATTAATGGAAGATGAAGTTGTGAAAGTAGTTTTCAACATCTTAAGATGGGAAGTCAGATGAACATACTAAAAACATTTTTGGGCAGTTCTGGGTGCTATGATATTTGGATATAATTGGGTACATTGAGAAATTGAGAGAGTGTGAGTGTGTGAGTGAGTGAGGGTGTGAGGGTGTGAGGAGGATTTACCTCACATCGGCAATATTTCAGGCATATCGGGACTAAAACAACTTTAGATTCACCATATATATGTTGGTTTACAGGTATATATATATATGGTGAATTTAAAAGTTATATATATATATATATGGTGAATTATATATATATATCTTGTCTTGTGTAGGGAGAACAGAAGGAACCACTAGAATATCACAGATGTGAATATAAAAGTAGTATGTAAATCCCCCGTGATGTGGCTGGAATGTTGCTAAAAGCGGCGTAAAACCAAACTCAGTCAGTCAGTATGTAAGTCTGAACTATTTTAAGCCAGATGAACATGACCATGAACAAAGTTTGGTACCTCTGGATTATTTTGCTGATATTTGAATATAATTGGGTACATACCAAATATCTGCACCTCACACAGAGTTAGAAGCTCCTGTGGCGTCCGTATGGTAACTGAGGTTCCTGATAGTGGCCGTCTGCAGGTGACGTCCGTGACATTGTCAGGTCGTTCATTTGATGACCAATCGTAGCAGATCTGGTCGTCCACCAGAATCACCATGCCATCGTTTCGATTTGGCCCTGTAATCACACACATTTCGTAGAGTTAATATGATAAAAGTCGGTGATGAGTTATTTAGATGTTTCAGTTTGCTAACGTCACAACGTTTATACGTTATTGGCAATTGGACCTGAGATATTGGAAGATCTCAAAAAGCATCCATTTCAGGTTCTGCATTTATCATAATTCTTAAAATGTTGATGTAGACGCCACAGTACCCACATGTTGTGCGAAGATAGAGTTTCATGTTGTGTATTTTGTCATGACAGCTTGTATTGAGAAATACAGTCCATGATGGAGTCGTGTCTCCACCGTCAGTGTGAGCACATGGACTGTCTCGGAGGTGAGTGGAAACTAGTCCATCCACCGCGTAGTCCGCCGTCAGGTTCAGTGGCCGGGTAGTTTGAAACCATTCATAGAAGACAGAGGTTTGAATTGCAGGTCTTTTCAGAGCAACGTTTTCTGATGAAACAATTTAAATTAGATATATTTAAATGACTATTATCAATCTAGAGATGATATACATTAACAGATGCACTACCCATGTATTAACATGGAAGAGTGGTATTACACGTTTAAGCTACTTAAGAATAACCTCGTAAAAATGACTACGTTCGATGGTTGGAAACGTGTTTGATAAACAGAGAACAGAAAATGAACAGAACATCACTTAAACAAACTACAGCGGACTCCCCCTAAACCGACATCCCTCTAATCCGACATTACCTGTAAACCAACATAGTTATTTGGTCCCAAATTTCTCCCTATATAATATCATATAAGAAACTCCCTCTAATCCAACATTCCTCTCTTCCGAATTCCGACACTAAAATATGTTTTTAGTGCAAATTAACTCTTTCCCAAACCGACACTGTAATTTCACAAGATATTGCATCAACTAAGACATGGTGTGTATAGTATGACCAGAAATTATTGAGAATTTTAGGAATATGTTTAATTGGATTTCTAGTATAAACGACCTTGACCAGCTATCAAGTGTTTTATTTCATTCAAGAGAGACAACTCCGTTAATCCTTTTCCATTAGTTTGTGAAGAGTTATCCCCCTTTGTTTACTTGCTAGCAGACGACATTTTCAGTGATCCTCAGTATGGATGATTTAGAGAAGAGGAATTTGATTTTAGAGTATTATAACAAGCACATCAGATCAGCTAAAGTGATTTCAAGTAGAACAGGCATCCCTTTGTCCACTGTTTATCGTGTTTTGAAAAATATTGAAAATGGATATGGCAGTGAGCACCAGGAAGGCGCAGGTAGGCCTAGATAATTGACTGTCGGTGACGGGAGGCGGCTTGGTATTCTTGTTTCTAAAACCAACCAAGGAGTTAGAAACCTTAAGGCTGCATATGATTGACAGAGGAACTGTGGCTGTCTGTAAGGAGACAATAAGAACTGAGCTGCATGCAATGGGTTGGCAGAAAAGACGAGGAATTCCATCACCAATCATGAAACCTGAACAAAAGGAGCGAAGATTGAACTGGTGCTTACAGCATAGAAATTTTAACTGGGACAATGTGATTTTCTCAGATGAAAGTTCTGTGTGGCTGTTTCCTGATACACTGAAATTCTGGACCAAACAAACTGAAAAACCTTTGTATCAGCCCCCAAAGTACAGTCCGAAAGTTACCGTGTGGGGTGGCATATCTGTGTTAGGGGTAACGCCCGTCTGTGTATTTGAAGGGAATATGAACAGTGAGCGGTACACAGATATTCTCGAGGGACATTTACTTCCATCTGCTCACGTGTTCTATGGACATTTTTTGATTTTCCAGCAGGACGACCAAAAACATCGTTCAAAGCATTCACCGGCCTGGTTTCGGACCCAAAATATGACATTATTAGATTGGCCAAGCTAAAGCCCTGCCCTAAATCCAATAGAAAATGTTTGGGGACTTATGAAGGAAAGTGTCAATAAGAAAAATCTGACAAATATTGCTGAAATGAAAGAAGAGGTGGTCCGATATTGGGACAGCATGGACCACGACTTTCTAACTCCTTTGATCAGTAGTATGCCCCGCCGCACTGAAGCCTGCATTGCTGCCCATGGTTACTTGACAAAACACTAACTGTTCACCACTCTTTGAATCTGGAGATATGTTGTGCTAATATTCACATTTAATACGTGAGTAATGTGTGAAAAATATATTTAAAAATTACAATGTTAAATTCTCAATAATTTCTGGTTGTACTGTATTTAGTACGCTTGTATGAGAGATGGCCTGCCAAGGCGTTTTAGGATTAAGTGTTAATAACTTGCTAATTACTCACCAACTTCTAAACTGCCAATCAAACATACAATTACATTTTCAGTGGATTCATAGATTGGTGAAATCATGTGTTAAGTATTTGTTATGAGTTTCTAAAAAAAACCTCTATATCGACATCCCTCTAAACCGACATTTTCGACGGGTCCCAAGCGATGTTGGTTTAGAGAGAGTCCACTGTGCATACGACAGTAACTCCCACTGCATGCATATTTACCAGGGCCCTCTTATCCATCCTATTCCATGCAATACATCGTATTGAAAAAAAACAGTGCGTTAATGTGTGTATCTCATGTAGGGGATTTTCTGTGTTGGATATGTTTAAAATGTAAAGTGACCATCATCATAGCAAACGCTTAAAAATCGAAATTCGAAAATCTGATTAATGTGTTTTAAGAAGACAAAAATATGTTAATTCATGATCACAACATCACTGCTCACGTTTCTGGCAGGTCGGACCGAGCCATCCCTTGATGCAACCGCCGTTTTGGTGACTTGTGGTTGCCGGAGATGTTGTGCAGGAACTTGCATTGTAGCAATGACATTCTCCAGCTGCAATAACGAAAATGCTTCACTTCAAACTCAAGACACAAAATGAGCTATTTCCCTTCCTTGAAAATCAAGAATCCATAGTTCAGTTCGCATAATTGTAGTAGTGTTAAAACGGTGTCATATCATACGGTGCAATGTTACGGCCTCATACAAAGGTCAGAAATATACATGAGTGGTTTCATCGTAGCGGCAATGGGCCAGTATTGTTTTAGATGAAACACCTACTACTTTATTAACATAACTATGGTATTTGTATTATATATATTTAACTAAGACATATGTTAAGAGAAAGTTGACAGAGGTGCCATATACATTACACATTGCCATAGTTGCTTAATAATACAGTAGAATGAAATGCATGATCAAAGTGAAATAATATTTTATCTTACCAACTGCTGTGAACATCATGAACAGCTCAAACACAAAGAGCAGTCGCATTGCTTTGTCCATGTGGAGCCTACATAGATGAAAACAATATGCTTCAATTCAAGAATCTAAATCAAATTGTTACAACATAGTAGTATGGATATAAACTTCTCAAAACTTGGTTGTAGTCTCTTTTAGCTTCAACACGTGTAAGAACTAACATCGAAACGTCGCCCTATGCAATAAACAAAAAGTTATAATCCATTTTTTTTTAATTATAGGATATTTATATCGCGCACATATCCACACACAGCTAGTACATGCTCAATGCGCTGGTATTGTTTCGCTCGATCATTGCACAACGGCACATCGTATTATCAATCTCCATTCCCTGAGGATCATACAACTCTTGCAGCCACTAGGCGCACCGAGTTAATGTGGCTTTCCCATCCTTGCGAGGTACCCATTCACAGCTGGGTGGACGAGACATAGTCACAGTACTTTGTTCAAGTTCACTGCACGTTGCTGTACCCGCAACCAGATGTTTGCATGTATTCATGTGTATCTGGTCATATACCAACGGATTCGTGGGTTCTTCTAAGTGCACAGGGTTGTGTACTGTACTCTAGGGGGTTGTGACAACACTGAGAGAGTCTGCACACAAAGTTGACTCCAACATTTGTTACACCCGGTCACAGGTGGGATCGATCCCGGGACCTCAAGCTCGCCGGATAACTAATCTGGGGCCGTAGACAGTTCTCCCACCACGCCTTCATTAAGCCTTTAGCTTTATTATTGGCTCACCAACTTCCAGAATACCCACCACTTTATTCGATATACATATAATTGTTTGTTACTATCAAACAACACATTTAAGGGAACCAAATTAAGATTTCTACGGAGCACAACCATCTACGTCATCCCATGGAAGTCTAAAAATTGTTTCGCAAGTCTTAATCAAGAACATAGAGGAGATAGCATCGTTTTGTCTCAATAAATTAAGTCATTAAACAATGATGTTACTTGGGCGGGAATTCGATGACTTGAAAGCGCCAAGAAAACGTATTTGCTTCGATTGCCCATATACAGATAAAAGCAATGTTTTCGATATATGTCCTTCTGCCATTGTATTTGTACTAACATTAAGTGACGTCATGGCATATTCAAATCACAATGACGTCATCATTTGAAAGTGGAGTCACATATATCTCAAAACTATGAAAGTTCACAAAGAGCATTATGGGAATAGTATTTGGCTTTGTATTTATATTTTAAGAAGAAACGTGCCATATCGAAGAGCAATTCCACCTCAAAACGTGCTGCGATTATAATTCACAAACAGTTAAGAATCTTATGTATAGTTTTGCATCAGATGTCTGGTGTTAGACGACCTACCACTGCGTGTAATTCTGACTAATTTGTTGACAATGCAGTTTTGTCACATCACGTTATTATGATGTCATTCTGCAATTTAACGTATATGGAGAGCAATAGTACTTTGAGTTGATAATTCTTTGTTTGTTGTTGCTACACATATTGCTGAAAACCCAGTTCATATATATATACAATGTATTATGGTTCTAGATTCTGCCAAAGTGTCCACTGTCGCCTCAGACTCGACTGCAGTGACTCAAACGCTGATAAGATAGGGCGCCATGTATCAGAAACCCCTCACTGCACATGTGGCTATCAATTTCTATATATCACTTTTTCTTTACCTGCCACAAATACGATAACATCAGAAAGACTATGTACTTTTACATACATGGGCATGACCTGACATCAATACTGTATGGCTATAGTTCAGTCAGCAGTTCCATAAACATGGAAATCCTTCTATCAGTTCACGGCCTTATCATTAAAAGCAAAGTAATTGAGCAATTTTAACTTCATGTAGAAAGGATAACTGCACTATCGTACTTTTCCATACACAACACTGACTCCAAAATACTGACGTTATATATTCCGTCTGTGCCACTGTATATTACGTTTAGCATTATCCTGCAAAACTTATTACCTGGAGATGTACTTATATAAGCAAATCTCGCTTTTTTACCGAACCAGATAACTTTGGAAATAAAAGTATGTTTAAGCCCTTATGTGTGTATGAGAGAGAGAGAGAGAGAGAGAGAGAGAGAGAGAGAGAGAGAGAGAGAGAGAGAGAGAGAGAGAGAGAGAGAGAGAGAGAGAGAGAGAGAGAGAGAGAGAGAGAGAGAGAGAGAGAGAGAGAGAGAGAGCAGTGAATGAATAATCATGTTACTCACCTGTATGTGCCTTCGATTGATAGTTGTGATACGAGGGGATGGGGAGTAAATGACAAATACCTGACCTGTGTTAGTGTTTGAATTAAATGCCAACGAGGGTTTCACAACCGATAAAGAGGAAACTGCACTTTATCTTTTCAATGAGGGAAGTAAAATGATAAGGTACTTCCTTGCCGAACTTACGGCCGGAAAACTTGTTATCTACGTTAAATCACATTTTACACATGCATCCAAAGGAGCAAGATTACAATTTTGTGGTCTGAGAAGCAGTTTTAAGACTATGAATCGGCGATGCATGTAGGTTAGTAACTGTGACGCGAACCACATTGAACTTACATACGTGACTTCCTCAGTCGATGGTCACATTATGGGGACATATAAAATATTCCTTTTTGTGGTATATCTCATCATTATGTTTGATGTTTATTTTAAACTCCTTAATTCATATAGCTGCACCGGGTATGTTCCTGTTTTGTACACAAGGGTCTTAAGAAAAGATACGAGTTTGCAACAGCAACGCATTATCAACTGTAATGGTAACCGTTTGTCTATTTTGTTTGTTTTTTTAGTTATTTAGTCTTTTCTAGTGGCGTAATTGAAGATGAATAAATTGGCAAATATGCAAATCATTCGTCTATTTTGTTTGTTTTAGTTACTTAGTCTCTTTCTGTCGCATCCCTTAAGATGAGTCGATTTGGTCAACCAGTCCATTTGGTCATACATTCCTTTTGGCAGAAGATGCTTATGTCTCTTCATCTAGCCCTTGCAGAGATCAAACGTCCCTTTATGTAAAATGATCACAAACAAATTGCAGGGGACAGCGTAAATTGAAAACATTTTTAAACTGGTTCTGGTATCAAATCTTCCATTTTCTAACTGAAGATGGTGCGTGAACAAACAGACTCGTCAAATCGATGAATATGTGGAAGGGGGACCAACAACCTGATGCTCTTGGGGTACATTCTATCCGGCGCGTGACGACCAAATGCAGATGCAATATGACCCATACTGAAGCAATCCAACCAAATATCTCCTGGTGAAGAGATCACTCTGCGTTCACATTAATCCGCTGTCACGAGGTACTGACTATTAATATTGTATTCAGCTTCCGAGGAATATGTTGGGCTTCCCTTCTGTACCTTTTAGACCACCAAGGCAAACAACCGTGTAGAATCATGTATCAATCCATCTTATCTGATTGTTACTTGTCTCTGAATTTATGCCACCAAAGTAGTGCAGACTGTGATCCGGGGAAAGGGGCGATTTTCCTTAGAGACTGGTCCCATCAGGGGACAGCTGATGTGGAATCTCCCTTTGTTGAACTCCCAACATACTATGTACCATTAGCCTGTGTATGCCCGCTCTTCATCCCAATTCTATTGTGTAGAGAGTGAGTAGTGAGATGGGTTTTTCTCCGCCTTTAGAAATAATTCAGCATTATCGTGGCGGGAGACAGCAGAAATCGGCTTCACACAAGTAGGAAATCGAAATCGGCTTTAACCACTAGACTACCCAATCGCCCGTCTGTTATGTAAGGGGGTCGTGTTCGTTTTATCATGTGTTGAAAAACCAATAAAAGGTCCTCCAGGAGGTTCTCCAAACCTGTCCATCAATTGTGACAGATGGGAGGGAAAGGTACTTCTCTGTCCAACGTTGAAGTTTGTACTGAATTCATCAATGTTTGTTGGTGCCGAAGCTGATGTCTGCCCCTATGGTACGAAACGATTTGGAGCCATGCGTTTTTTCGTGATGACATTCACCATCAGACATTGTGGTTGCGTCAATGGGCTACTTGGTTAACCACCCCTATAAGGTTCAGATGATGATCCAGCGGTGGTCGAGCAAGTCCCTTTTTGCATCGAGAATCTGTTCCTTACATAAATTATATCCAGCAACTTGTTGAATTCCAGTTTCTTTCAGAGGAGCAGAAATCAGAATAAAGCCAACAACTGTATCGAAAAGATTTCAGTCTATCTAATCAGATTTTTTAACTGATAGGATGTAAGGAAGTCATACGTGTATATCCTTGCAGGGGATTAGATAAGTGTCAATAAAGCTGGTGATCGGTGTGAAGAAATCCGAGTGAAGTATATCCTGATCTGAAGGACTTGAATTCATAATACATGCACTTGACTGAGAATCGGACATATTTCTTGAAATGTTGGGTGGAACTGGACATGAATCCAAAGGATCATCCAGTCCCCAGTTCTGTGTCATGTTCGAGATTTTCAAAATGATTCCATCTGGAAGTAAATCTGTAGTCATTATTCCTTTGTTGACCTGAACTGTTGACGCACATGCTGTCAATGACCCGAGAGTACCGTGAAATCTAACGGGCATTACGTAGTCAGGGGTGGTTTCTTCCAAGGACCATCTCTGTCAGCTACCTCCTCATACCGATGGTTTGATGTATTTTGCCCTCACACCTTCTGTAACACCTCTATATCCTGATATCCTCTTGTGCCTGATGACCTGCACATTTCCCGTCATCAACTTTCCTGGATGAATTACTGCAGACATCGCGTCCATTTATGTATTGAAATAACACCTACACGTGTTTTCATCCTGAGTGACGTTTCAAGAGAAAACAGATGAGTGCATATCGCATTGCGGAGTCGTTCCGAACCGAGGCTGTTTGGGACTTTGTCCTGGACGTGCATGTCCCCGGACTTATCGTGGTTTAGGTGTAGCAATGAGATCCATCTGCTTCCTAACATCGTCTTTCCTTAAAAGCATGTCCCTGCATCTTAGAAGTTTCTTTTCCATAGCAGTTTACGCCACTGTTGGTGACCTTTCGATTTCGATGTATGTATCGTCACCATATTCGTCTCTACATCCATATCCAAACAAGGCTGCTTCATTACATATAGAAGCTTCCACACAAGATGATCAGCAGTGTACGTTGTATTACAAATGATTTACTTGTTTAATATGAAATTTAAATGGTTGGCTCAGACTCGACACCACAAGCCAGAGAATAACCAGTCCAGATTATTCACCCTGATTTCATCGGGCGGATCGATCAAAATAGGGGAGAAAATTTGCATGAGTGGATGACGGAATATCAGTGTCGACACTGTGTGTTCCCGAAAATTGTTACAAGGACACCCGAAGGGGTTGTTGGAGTTTGGTTTATTTAGTTTGGGTGTGTGTGAGTGTGTGTGTATGTGCGTGCGTGCGCAAGGGCGTGTGTGTGGGCGGGGCGTGGGGGCATGTGAGTTCATGTTGTAATCATCAGTTAAGTAATTTTCAAGTATCGACAAAAATAATGTATGATCATGATAACAATAACAATGGATTGTTCTATTTATTGATCCTAAATTGCGATTAAGACACAAAACGTCTCCTGGTTATACGACCGTTACAACATAGCTCATAAGGTAAATAAATCGTAAACGTATATTATAAGTATCGTATCTGGGTATCATGTCTGAAGTTAATCCACCCAAGCGAAGACCCACACGGCATAGTAATATTGGAGTGCCTCAACGTCTCAACGTTGGTACGTAACCAACAAGCATGCACTATCCGTTTATACAAGTAATTCTCTATTGCATAAAGTCCTGGAAAAAAAGACAACTATCAGGTTAAGTAGTATTTAAAAAGAGAGGATCTCCACTATAACAGACAGCATCATTGGCCGTCACGACTTTAGGTCAGGTTCGAATCGAAACTCATGTACATTCTATAAAACGAATTAATCTTTTCCCCTTTTCGATATTGCAAAGTGTGTCAGGTAAATGGCTGTAGATACTATCTGATTTTCAAATACGTATACACTTGTCAAAACAAACAAACATGTGTGTCTAGACATACTTTACAACTGTGCCCATTGTCCATTCGTATTCTTCATTATGAGATATTTTATACCAGGAAGGACTTAGTTTATCTCCCTGTGACATATATATGGCGCATACTGAACAACACCTACCTGGGGGTCTATGTAAATAATACAATGACACAAGACGTGATAAACCAAATCAATCGATTTGAAATCAGCCTCAGTTTAGCTCACACATTTTAGGGTATTGGAAGTATGTCCTTAACCCTTTGCCCACCAATGAACTTGTATGTGGCAACACATGTATGTGGCAATCCTTGTGCACAATATTGTCAGTTGCTCTAGAACGCATAGTAGGCACGGGTTGTACATTAAGCGGTTGGTCTAAGAGTGGATTTAGTTCGAGAAATTTAGTTGTTACATTTCTTTACTTCAACAGAACTTTCGTCAGATTGATGTTGTTAATGGCTAGACAAGAATTTGTTATTCGTTAATCGGTTGTTCGATATCATAAACTGAAAACTCATTCAAAAGAAAACGCACACAAGATGTTTGGGGAATATTTTCAAAAAGCAAAGTAAATACTTTTTGAAAGTGTTTTATATTGTGACTTACAGGTGTACATATTAGACAAGGTGAGGTGAAATTGGGTTTAACGTCGTGCTTGAGAATATTTCGCTCATATGACGACGTGCATGCGTGTGTATATGTATGTGTATGTGCGGCTGCTTGTACTAGCCCAGACTTAAGCTGGTTTTATAGTGCTAGCTCACTGAGATACCATGCCGCAGTGAAGCATGAATACCCACTCAGACACATTATACTGACTCCGAGCCGACCAGTCCTTGTTGTACCAATAATTTGCCGACTGCCAGGCAGGGACCAACAACTACCATATTTTAACGTCTTTTGGTATGACGCGGTCGGGGATCGAACCCGCGACCTTCCGCTCTCTCGTGCGGACGCTCTAACCACTACACCAGGGAGGCGGTCCATATTAGACAAACATTGTTTGCATAATAGTAACGTTAGTTAGGTGTGTGCTTTCTTTACACGTCAGTTTAGTTGGGGTTTTTAGCCTTAAGTTTGAAGTGATTCGAACGTTTTAAGTCAAGTAAAATTTCAATAAAGTTTGATGTGTTTTGAATACATCCATGTTTTTGTTCGTTTGCCTGACAGTCTATATTGCTTGCCTGGAATTATGGGTGTTCTATCGCAAATTGTGTTTTGAACGTTATATAATTATCCTATCCCATCTTTCGTTTTTCAGGAAGTCACCTACATTCTCTAACACATTTAAAAAAAAAAAATACGTATACGTACATGCATTGGTTGTCAGCGGTGGTTGTTAGCCGCTGCTGTCATCACTCATGGCTACTATCTGGTGAAATCTTAGCGTCCTTAGTTACCGGTAGAAACACACAAGGAATGATGTGATATAAACTTGCGTTATTTCAGCTCACATTATATGAACGTAACACCATGGAGGCCATCGGATTGGTCACAGGTCTTCTTCTGGTTCTTCTTGAAGGTAATTTGCCCTCAGTTGAAGTTCAACAGATAATTTTATACCAAAGATATTTATGAATAATGTCACGCGTTTATTTATTGCCGTGTGTTTTAAAAACTTTAATCATACATTTAAACTTATTTGTATAATCATCACATGTCCGTCGAGCCTCGGATCAAAATATTATCAAGCTACGATTTATTCATATCACCAAAGAGAAATATTTATATGTAATAATAATTTTGTAGTGTGTCTAATATCCATCTCAAAGATGCTAAGTTGCACAAAGGACATGTTTAACCCTGTTACCCAAGCTGCCTGTGAGGAAATGGACTGTTAACAGCCAAAGATACTCTCCCAAAAAAAACCGCATAGGTGTATGCAGCGCAGGATAGGTACATCCGGGTACTTCATTTGCGGAATCGAGCTGCTACTGCAAGTGCAAGTGCAGTGCCTGGTTTGAAGAGAATCTCGACGCAAACCATTCGTAATCGTTTACGAGAAGCTGGACTTAGAGCCAGAAGATCCTATTTTTTTGGCCCTGTGCTGCGACGATTACATCGACGTCGACAGGTCCAGTGGTGCAATAATGTTCTGATTCTGGAATCTACAAAACTGGCGACGTGTATGATTCAGTGACGAATCACGCTTTCCGCTTCAATGCCGTGACGGAAGAATACTTGTCTATCAACGTCGAAATGAACGTTTTGCCCAGAATTTTGTCGCCCTCGTTGACCGGACCGATATGGTGGTGAGAGTGTCATGATGTGGGGCAGCATATCTTAGACGCATAAATTTAGCTTTGTGCGCTTTTATTTCAATTTAACTGCTATTCGGTAGAGAGACGAACTAAGATTCACATGGTTCCGATCATTGACCGCCAGTGGGAGGTGTTCCAGCATGATAATGCCAGGCCCCACACAGCACATGCCACTGTTCACTATCTTCAAAATGACAGCACTACGGAGCTTTCAAGGCCTTCCAAATCGAACGACCTCAACCGCATCGATCATGCGTTGCATTTCCTCGGCCGACGTGTACGTGAACGTCAAACGGCACCCCAGACGTTAGATCAACTGAACTGTCGCAGGCATTGCAAGAGAAATGGGCCAGAATTCCACAAGGTCGAATTCAAAGACTTATTCAGCCCATGCCGAAACGGTGCAAAGGCATGTCTGGGGGCTCTGCAATCAGACAGAGTGGGCAGACATCGCGTAAGCAGACGATAAAAAAGTAAACGTAGGGCAGTAAACAGGGCGAAGGGGCGTAACTGCTTCTACCGGTGTTACACTGAATTTGCACCCAGTGAAATATTACCATACTGAGTTTCATGACGATTTATTGTCAAATACAGAGACACATTTAAATCCTACCTGGCGGTATGCACACTTTTCAGCGCAGACAGTGTTGCGAACTCACCTTTGGCCACTGACTGCATGTGCACATACATTTGAACTTTTATACTGTGATATTTGGCTTATCAATCCAGAATTACATGGGTTTACAAGTTAAAATTAGCAGATTAAGTTCGTGAAATCACAGCTATGCGTTTCCTTTTATGGAGAGTATGTAGCCATTATATGCAACAAGGCGCCCATTCACCTGGCACAAACTCACTTGCCTCAGTTGAGGTCATCATTGTGGGGCAGGACTGAAGTTCTAGAAACCCTCAGGTGTCAAGCTGCCTTACACAGTCACCCAGGATCAACGCTGAATCAACGTTGCTTAACTTCAACTAATTTGTGACCCGGGCTGCACAAAGTCACACACCACAACATTTAGCACTCCTGCCAAATTCTCTTATGAAATGAGAACTTTCACGTATAAAAGTAAGTTTCCTGCTATAATAATTCTGACTTTATTCGGCACATCTAATAGTTTACTGGGGCGGTGGGGTAGCCTAGTGGTTAAAGCGTTCGCTCGTCATGCTGAAGACCCGGGTTCGATTCCCCACATGGGTACAGTTTGTGAAGCCCATTTCTGTGTGCCCCCGCCGTGATATTGCTGGAATATTGCTAAAAGCGGCGTAAAACCACACTCAAGTCAGTCAGTCAGTCTGTCTAATAATTTACTGATATGTTACATTTTCAGATGTGAGGGCAGAGTTCTGTGCCGGTAACATGGCGTATTGCGAGAGTGGTTGTTGTGGAAGCACTTGTTGTGCAGACAACATGTAAGTATTATACTATAGAACAGCAGTGCATCGACGACGCATAGAGCCTATCAAACGTGCAAGGAAGGCTTGTGGGATGTCACGCCAGATTCTCTCAAGTTCTGTTGCAAGGTCAAGGACGTTATCTGGCGGATGAGGAAGACGGCGTAGACGTCGATCCATCTCGTCCCAAACATGCTCTATCGGGGGAGATCCAGTGAATTTGCAGGCCAAGGCAGTGAAGTGAACATTGTGGTGTTGCAAGAAACTATAGCAACCCTTGCCGTATGAGGGCGGACATTGTCCTGTTGGAATGTTAACCCAGGGCCATGACGTTGCAGAAAAGGAATTGCCACAGGTCGAAGAATCTGATCCCTGTAGCCCACACACCAGTTAAGTTATTCTTGAACAATCACCAAAGGAGTTCTTGGCGTGCTGTTATTCCACCCCAAATCATCACGGAATCACTTCACCAAAGCGATTCCTCCAAGACACAGGCCTGTGCATAACGTTCTCCCACGCGTCTTAGGCACGTTGACGTCCATCACTATGGGAAATGTTAAACCTGACTCATCTGTAAAACAACATTTCTCCACCAAACAAGGGTCTGCGGACATGATTTCGGCACCACATTCGGCGAGCTTGTCGATGACGTTGTGTCAGGATAGGCGTACATGGCGGGACGTCGTGGTCTGATCCCGTGATGACGTAAACGTTGTCGAACTGTGTTGGGGTGGATACGAGCGAAGTCCTGGGATGGTTCGGGCAGTCATCACTGCAGTCTGAAACCTGTGGCGAAGATTGGTCACCCTTTATCCATCTGTCCTGTCTTGGTGCTGTTACACGTGGACGTCCAGAACGCGAGCCGATCGATGACGTCATTTGTGTTCTTGTAGCGTCTCACCAGTGCAGAAATGGTGTTCCGGTGGCAGTGGAAATGTGCAGCCACTTGTCGTTGAGGACGCTTCCACGGACCATCCCAATGGCCTCATGGCGTTGTGCAGATCGTGAGCCCTTGGCAGCTATGCGTTTCAATAGCCGTTTAAGCTTTTTGAACGATCGCAAGGGCAGGGTTGAGCTTTCCAAAGTGACAGTATTGTGTGGCATCTCATTAGCTGTTTCTTTTTCCGGAATGCACGTGCAACAACGTATTGCACGTCTCAAGCTGACGAACCCACTGGACGTCACGGAACGTGGCACGTGCATGCATGTTGGATATATGTCACTAATCTCTGAGTTTAAATCCTTATGTGTCTACACAGGTTTGATAAATCTAGATTTTAAATTTTTGTATGCACAGTTTCTTTATGTGCCTAGTATATATGATAAATGCACGTTCTAACCATTCGTACTATTTTGTACCGGGCGACTTGAGTTTGTTGTTTTGGATATCTAACCGTTGGTCGGATATAGGCCTCGATGTTACATATGACTATTAAAAGGCGTTATTGATATTTCCAAACAAGGCATAATACGACAGCGATGCATAGCACGTATACAATGAAAATCTAGTAGCTCTCTTGTATCTTTGTAGACGACTGACCGAAGCTGATCCGTCACCCCTGATGTATCACTGAATGACTAAAACAATTATTTCAGGACATGACATGTAGTGGCTAGCGGAACACACCAGTGTAAACCTTTTACCGTAAAGATGAAGTTTTACTGCTAACTGTCTCTATACAACCCGTACCAAGTGATAGTAACACGCAACGTATACCGCATAGTAGGTGGGTATTGCAGAGAATTTTCTATATTGCGATATATTGCGATGCAAAAGCATGTACAGCGATATGTATTTGCGTACGATATTACGGTAAAGTAAAAACTACTTACAATCGAGGTAAAGCTTGATTTATAGAGCAAAATACACAGCAAAATCACAATGCTTGATTAAGCTTTTAATAACAACTTTTGTTCATGATTAAAAAATAAAATGTGAATAATATTTGGCAATAAAATGAAAAAGGAAACATCCGAAGATTTCCGTGTGTTACGAAGTTTTCCGAATTCAAGCCGTAAATACCGGTTTTCGATCAGCGTATTGCAATACGCATCGTTTCTCTATGTCTGAACCTGGTAAATACCGGTAAACCGGTTATATTGCGCAGATCTACCACATAGGTTGTTAGTTTTCACACGACCAAACTTCCAGGAGTTAGTGCTGGATTTGGCTTTATCGGCTTGCCACTTATCGTCACACTTCATCAATATTCCACCTCTATGGCGGCGGTCTGTACACATAACGAGTCTGACCAGACAATCCAGTGATCACCATCATGAGCATCGGTCTCTAATCAATTCGATACGGTATATGTGTCAACCAAGTCAAAGCGATCCCGTCAAACTTATCCCGTTAGTCGCCTCTCTTACGACAAGCATGGCTGCTGAAAACAGTTCTAACGCGGAGACCTTCATGATTTAACGCGCGATATAACGCAATGCATAATTACACTCCTTCACTGATGATCAGTTTATCTTTTCTTATCATCCTATTTGTCAATTCTGCATTGTTCTGGTATACACGAAATCAGATGCGATAAATAATACTATTGACTCCAATACCTACAGAAACATTCCAGTCATCGTCGGATCGCACCGTGGGTAGCTTAGCCTTCATCGTCATCGCTCATCATTTCCATCTGCGTCTATTTGAAGAAATCAAATAAATCAGCCCGCACCATCGGCGATGATCCAAACATGATGGCGAACTGCAGGTTTGTAAGCTTTCCTCCAATACATTAGGACGTGTTATTGTGGTAAATACTTTCAAAACGGGATTGGATGAAGTTTGGTTGGAAACACTGTATTGCTGAGGAGAACTGCGTATGTGCATAACGTGTCAAAGGATAAAAGCATGATATATGTGTAGGAATAGATGATATGCCACCTATTATGTCCTTTGTAACATACGCAGTAATTGTATTTTGGCATTGTACAGATTCTGTTCTTTGATTGGGCTGTGTCCCACCTGGAGATTCCAACCCACACAATCAGAGTCAGGCAATCTAATCCCCAGCACACAAAAAATGTCCATTCATCAACTTAGCCACGGCAGATTCCAATAAAATAAAGGAAGTCGGACATGTGGCAGCGTAAGAACGACCGGACGGGGTGGTGGGTAGCGCTTGTTACGACGGACGCGGTGGTGGTGCAGCCTGCTCTGGTCACGCCGATGACCCGGGTTCGATTCCCCATGGGCAACAACGTGAAGCCCATTTCGGTGTCCCCCGCCGTGATGTTGCTGGAAATTGCTAAAAGCGGCGTGAAAAACCACACTCTATCTCACCCTAAAGGCGTTTGTTCCGTGAATAAGTAAGGATTTTACGTCACTTTTTGCAGCATTCCAAGAATATCGCCAGAAAGGGACAACGGTACTTATCTTTAAGCATTATACCTATGCGAAACCGGAAACCCAAACAGATTCGGTGTGACGAACTAATGAAGT